GGGTTTCTGATTTCCTCTCCTGCTGTGCTCGTGTACACAAGGACACACTTAACCATCTTCCAGCAGGGCAGCAAGTCAAGGCACAGAACAACGACGAAGGGCAGCTTGCAGGGACTCAACCGCCGTCCTCCCCCACATACACCTCCACAGTACGCTCTCAGGAGCGAGACCGCCCTGGGGTCGACCAGAACGCCTGACCACCTCCCCGTGGAATGGGCAACGCGTATGTCCCTCTCTCCACCCTGTCCCGTAACATGGCAATTCCACACTTTCCAGAGATTCCGTGGGACGGCCCCTGAACAATCCACAATCGGAACCCTTGCAAACAACACATCAGGCCCTTTTAATTTTTCCATGTGACATTTCCTTTTGTCATGGTCCCCGTTTTGATTTGCTTGTAACAACATCACATGCAGAGCCGAGAGGAGTTTCCCTGGCAAACACCCTCCTGAGCTTTTGCATCTGCTCTGGTCTGCTTTTCCCACCCGTGGCACTTAGACCATTTGCCAGCTGGGTGGGTGCAGTTCTGAAAGTGTGGATTTGTCCCTTAAAGCCCATACAGGGCCCTGCCTGGTGGTGTTCAGAGAGCAAATCCTTGTTTGAAAAAAAAAAAAAAAAGGGACATAACAGGTTAAATGTCGTAAACACAATTTCATGATTTTCAAATATTTTGATCCTTATTTTTACTAACTTAAAACATATTTTTTAAAAAAAAGAAAATAAATACAGGGGCAGACATGACCCTAGAGAAATTCACAACTAACTAGCAATTTCATAAATTTCTTCAGTAATGACTCTTATAAATATATACAGACACACCCAATTTTCTTTATGTCTCTATATCCACATCTGTGTGTGTGTCTGTTATCGATAAACAGGTAGATAAACTAGCTGCTGATGTTTGAGTGCTTGTAGCAGACACTGTTCAGGCCTTCCCAGGTAAAATCTCATTTAAGCCCAAAATAGTGGATGTTGCTGCTGTTGTTTTGTATCAGCTTTGGGTGTACAGTGCAGGGGTTAGACAAGCCGAAACTTTACAGAGCGTTCCCCTGATGTTTCCAGCTGCCCACCTGGCACCATTCACAGATATTCTTAATTTATAGATCCATCAGGGTTCTCTGCTCCTTTCCAAGTACATCTTGCTGAGGAGTTTGACACAGGCAAGATCCAGTTTAAGTGCCCTTGACTAAGGAATGAGGAGAGGAGCCCTGAGTGGTGTGGTTCAGTGGATTGAGCACCGGCCTGCAAACCAAAGGGCTGCCAGTTTGATTCCCAGTCAGGGCACAGGCCCAGGTTGAAGGCCAGGTCCCCAGGAGGTGCCACGCACGAGGCAACCACATGTTCATGTTTTTTCTCCTCTTTCTCCCCCGCTTCCCCTCTAAAAATAAATTTTAAAAATCTTTTTTAAAAAAAAGGAATTAGGAGAAGAGCGAGATGGGAAAGACACAGCCCAAAAGGAGGCAGTGTTCTGAGCCACACGGGGAACAATCGCTTACCTGCACAGGTACTTTGTCGAACTCTGTCCCTGAACAAGCTGCACACTCCGGGAGCCGAGTGTGCACGTAAGAAGAAACGCACCACCTTGTATTTCAAAGGCCCTCAGAGGACAGCCAGGCCTACAGGAGTCCCTAAACGGTTGGCACTGACCATCCCATGTGCTGTCCTCTAAGCACCTCATGTGACCTCCGAGACAGGACTCGGAGGCCATTTGAAGGAGCCCATCAAACTCCCTGGCAACCCCGAGGAAAAGAGGACACAAGAAGGGCCCCATTCCAGAATCACTGAGACTGGAAGGCTTCTTTGCTGTCCCTGCCAACCAAGTCATTTCAGGGCTTCCTGGGTATGAAATGTGAGAGAAGATAAACTTTGCATTTATCTTTAAAAACATCAAAAAATAAATAACATCAAAACGCAGGCCGGGGGAGAAGGGCTCTGAAGCGCATGCATAAGCAATGTTGCATTCAGCAGTCCCCGTGGGCCACTCTCACTCACTAGACTTTATTTGGAATAAAGGGGGGCCACGGGGGGCACGATGCCCTCATGAATTCCGGCCAGAGAACCACTCACCCTTTGCATCACCGGGCACCGCTTGCTTTTCTCAGCCGAGAGGAAAGAGATGGGACTGACCCACCTCTCCAGCCCTCCACTCTGTGAGGCCCCGCTGAGCCCTCTTTGCGCTCTTGGTCACTTGGTTAGTGAGAAAGCCAGGCCTTGTAACTACAGTGTACCCTGTCCTAGAAAACCCAGTAAGGTATTATGTGTCTTTGATTCAGGATCTGAATGGTGTCTCAGCTATTAGGAAGACATTTCACACCCACTAGGAAGGCTATAATAAAAAATATGGACACATAATAAGCACTAGCAAGGATATGGAAAAATTAGAACCCTCCTACACCACTAGTGAAAATGTAAAATAGTGCAACCATTTTGGAAAACAGTCTGGCAGTTTCTCAAAAGGTTAAACAGTTACCCTATGACTAAATAATTCTAGTTAGGTAGACAGACACCCAAGAAGAAGAAAAACGTATGTCCACACAGAAACTTGTACGCGAATGTTCATAGCAGCACTATCCCTAGTAGCCAAAAAGTGGACGCAACCCCAATGTCCAACAACTGATGAATAAACCACATGTGTCTATAGCCACACAATGGAATATGATTTGGCAACAAAAAAGGAATGAAGTACTGGTAAGTGCTACAACATGGACAAATCTGAAACATTAAGTTAAAGAAAGAAACCAGACACAGAACACCAAATATCGTATGGCTAGGATAGGCAAATCCACAGACAGAAAGCAGATGTTTTCAGGGCTGAGTGAAGGACAAAATGGGGAGTGTGTGCTAATTGGCATAGAACTTCTTTTTGGAGTGATGAAATGCTCCTGAATTAGATGGTGGTGAGGGTTGTACGACCTTGTAAATATACTTTTAAAAAATCACAAATTCTTCAGAAGAACCAACTACTGAGTACGGTCCACCAGAGCCAAGCTAAGCTCCTACGGGCAGCCCTCACGGTAAGACCGCGAGGCTGGTGATAGCCAGTTTTAGTTGATAAAATGAAGATCCAGAGAGAATCCATGACTTGCCCAGTATCGCCCAGACATGAGAACTACACGACTCCAATTCTGTCCCAGCCCACCACCCATTGTCTTTCTCCTAACATTGCGTAAGGCTGCGGTCTCACTTATTTCGACCATTTCCCTCAGGAGCCTCAAGTTTCTAATCTGTCATAGCAGAGACCTCTGTACCCCACCTTTCTAGAGCCTCAGTTATACAGTTCAAGCTAGGAGAACGACTTCTTGTTTCCAGAATTGGTGGTTGGGTCCTCAATCCATGGCTGTTCAAGTCTCTGCCGAATGTTTTGGCGTAACTGCCTATTTTTGTTTCCTGGGTGGGACCCAAGACCTGCCCACCGGAGCTGGTGGAGGGATGCTCCCTGAGGGAAGGAGGGATGGCGGGAGTGAGCAGTGAACAAGGTACCTGGTTCCAAGGGACTCCGCAGAACTCTCCGGAATGCCTCACCCCTCCGCCCTCCTCATCCCGCCTGCGGTCACCACCAGCTGAACTTTCTGAGGTGGTCCCTTGAGTGCACCCTTCCCAGGTGGAGAAGCAGAGCCAGGCACTACCCCTTCTTCACCAAGATGCCCCCAACTCATTGTTCTTTGCACATGAACTGATCTCGTATCTCAACAATTGCATTGCTTGTTATCATCAAACTACTTCCCGTTACTTTCTTAGATCTAGGGATGGGAAGGGGGTGGGTATAAACTCCAGGATTCCTATCATGCCTCGCTTCTATTTACTTGGGGAATTCTCAAAAAAAGTGGTATTCCCATCTTACTCATGGACCGTTCTGCCTTCTTTCCCTTGATGACCAATCTCTCTGAAAAGAATTCTAAAGCTAAGATGGCCAACAGTTAACGTGAGGTCACCTATACTGCCGGCAAGGAAGCCATCACCTTCCCCTCAGTCTCAAAAGCAGAGAACACACACCACTGATCTCCAGAGCGAATGAACAGGGACACGAAGCTCTGCTTTAAACACCCCCACAGGCCCAGGAGGTCCATCCTCCGCCCTGGCAAGGGGACGCCGCAGCGGGAAATGCCCAGGGGCTGCTGGGTCATCGTCCTGAGTACATCTGATGGAAGGCTGCCGCCACTTATTTTTAAAAATCACATACTTTGGGATGGGATTATAATCCTGCTCCACCAAACATACGTGCTAGGCAGCACAGGAGATCAGTAAATGCAGAACCAAGATGGTAGGCCCCCCCTCCAGATGGCTGGCAAGACCCTCATGCCATGAACAGCCTCGAGCACAACCAAGACCCTGACGGTGACCCTTTCTGATCACCAACGCCCCCAGAAGGTTCTGAGAGCGCGGCTGATGGTCAGGAGAAGCCAGGCTGCTTCTGCCTCCCTTTGCTGGAGTCAGGACTAGCAAGCAGATCTAATGAAACCTTAAGAGTCCAAGATTCGCATTTGTTAACTAGCACAACATGGCTTCTCTCTTCAAATTTTCGGTGGCATGGAAATAAGCAATCATTTTAAAATGTATTTAAGTTGTCCTTTTGAAATTTGGAAGCAAACTCTATGTACATCACAAGGAAGCCAGCTGGAAGGTTCCCGGGTCCCCAGCATCAGGATTTTCGGAAACGTTTCTCTTCTGAACACCCCCTTCCTTCCAATACCCCCTGTTTAGAAAGTTTCTCCCACACTGTTTCTCATCTGTGCCCCTGGGAGCACTGGGGTCCCCTAGGGTCCCCTTAAGCAACAGAGCCAGGGCTTGAACTAACCTCCTCTGATCTTCCATGGGACTTACACGTCCTAGGCACAGCGCCCCCCCTCCAACCCCCGTGGCAAGTCACCCGCTTGTAACAAGCCGGCGCTCCCCAGTTCTGCCTTCCCTGCAACCACACCGAGCAGCACTCGAGTCCCCACCTCCGAGCACAGGAAACCATTTGGTGAGACACGAGTGTTAAAAAAATAAGCTGCGTGACATTTATTTTGTGTTGTTAACATTAATATCTGTAGAAACATTTTATTGTCAGTATAAAAATTAACAGGTTTTATTAAATACTTTCTCCAATTTCATTGACACGTAAAATCAGTGTATTCTGCATTCGTGGTGCACGGGTACGGCAAAGTGAGTAGGTATTTCGGAAGCAAAACACAGTCCTTTCAGACAGAACGAACGTGGCAATACTTCGTCTGACACTGGTGTCCGGCCGGATCCGTTGGTGAGGTCCCGCCAGCAGCAGACGGAAACAATCCCTTAAAAAGACGGACATATCCCCCAAACTATCAGCAGAAGAACTCAGTGTTTCAATTTTCTATGATGAGTCGTGAAGATGCTAAAAGGCTCCTCTAATGCCAATAAATCTGGAAGCCATTACCAAAATTCACTGAAGAGAACGCAGGCTAATCTGATTACTGTGCAACCCTGGGGCAGGAGGCCAGCTGCCGGCAGAAGTACATTCCGCCACAGTCTCAGCGAAGGTCCATCCCTGAGGGATGGATTAAGGCATCTTTTTAAGAGAGCGCTGGTCCCATTTGTCTTGGGAAGTCCACTGAAAGGTCACATGGGCCCAAGGACAGAGCTGCACATCAAAACAAAACACCTTAGGAGCCAGTTCTTGTAATATGGGCATGGAGGTGGTTTCAGAACAATCATCTGGCAGCAGGGTTTACACACAATTCAAAACGTCGCTTTCCCCAAATTAGTCATATTCTGTAAATATTTCTCTTTTCAAAGTAGCTGATAACTAGTTAAGTCCGAGCAACAGATTAACTAGTCCGATGCACTGCCTGCATAGAAATGCATTTAAATTACAAAAAAAAAAACAAAACAAAACAAAACTATAAATGATTAATTGTTTTGTATATTACCAATCCATTAATAAATTAATGTTATACCATTTTCCCTGAAAGCAAAAGTACTTCCACCTCTGCCTGGTGAAAATTAAGAAACTCTGTGTAAGAACAGCATTTAGCAAATAAGCTATTTTTTAAAAAAAGAGAGAGACCAATTTTCTAGGTGCATTGGGACATCCATTTAAAATCAATACAAAAAATAATTCCTTGTAAATATATAATATATATTTATACATAATTTGAATATATTTACATACATCCAGCACCTATATACTGCAATTGTGCTCTGTAAGTGTGTGCTGACATATATTTTCTCCAATTATTACAAAATTCACAAGGAAGGCAAAACGCAGGTTTGCCTCGAGTCCGGCTGGTCCACAGCCAGTACCCACAGCGGGTCATGGGCGCGTGGTGGCCCATGGCAGTCCATCGCCCCAGAAACATTCCTCTTCTCCTAGTGAAGATGACAAATTTCCAACCGTATAAATTCTTTACATGTGTGCCGATTACTTTTCCAATTATTTACTCCTCTGATCCATATATACAAGCGGAGACAACGAGCTCCTGGACAAACCGCCTCCCTGCTCAGTGTAGCTAGGTTCCTGGTGCCACCCCGTCTGGGGACGGCGGGGGAACAAGCGCATTCATGTTTTAACAGTGCCATTGATATGTGGAAACTGAGGAAGGCATGGTTCGTAAGGCATGGGGTCCGGAGAGAAAACAGAATCATCTCCTGAAGAACAAGAGCTCCTTGTGTCAGGGTAACTAGGTGAGTACTGTTCGAGAGGCTGACTGAGGTCCAAGTATTCCTGAAAGAAGGGAAGAGAGACGTTTTATTTCATCTCGGGTCAGGATAACAAGGTGAATACGGTTCGAGAGGCTGACTGAGGTCCAAGTATTCCTGAAAGAAGGGAAGAGAAGACTTTTATTTCAAACGCAGGCCCTGGAGACGCTGATATGGGAGGCGGGTCGGGACGGGGGCACCCCTTGAAGGCTCAGAGACCCAGCCTGCCCTGGCTGCTCGAAGCGCTCCTACACACACCCTGTTTTACACTAGGCTGCCCTTTGCTTTCTTCCACAACCTGTCGCAGACACACTATTGACAAGCAGGCACCACTAAAACCTGGCTGAACTGTAGGTGCCCCTCGCTGGAGCACAAGGTTCAAGTTCGAGCCCCGGCACAATAGAAAAGGCTAAGATTGGGCTCCCAGGGCCCCTTTAAATAGTTTAGACCCCAGATATTTATTTTATGGATTACGTTTTACTATGGCAGTTTCTAGGATAATTTAAGGGGAATATGTCTTCATTCAGCGGGTAATTTTGCAGATGTAATTCATTACTCTCAGAAGCCCTCTGAGCTAGAAATGTAAACAGGTTTGCAAAAACCTTGGATACACTCTTGTATATGAAACCCACAACGGACTGTTAATAAAAGTTTAGGAAAATAGAGGATGGCCTGTGAGCTAAGAGGGGTTTTTAATGTTTTCAAATGGCCAGGAAAAAACATCAAAAGGAGATGAACATCTCATGGCATTTAAAATGGTATGAAATGACAAAATTCCTGTAAAATGTAAATACGAGGGTCCATCGCGTTTTCTCTGAACACAGGCACATGCATTTTACACATCGGCCGTGGTGGCTTTCTCGATACAAAGCAGAGTTGAGTTGTTGCGACACAGACCATATGGCCCATGAAGCTGAAAATATTTACTGTCTGGCCCTTCCTTTACAGAAAAGGTTTGCAGACCTCTGCTCTGATGCTATGGGGAGATTTCTAAAACTGGGGAGCTTCTGGGTCTCACTGCCGCATCTGGGCTAGCACACTGGGGTCCTGTGCTCCCACACCCAGAAGCCCACAGCCATCCTCGGACACGTGGCTTTGCCGACAGTGGGGCAAAGAGTCCAGACCACAGAGCAACCAGCCGCGGCGTTATCAGCAAAGGGCCCACAGAATGTTGGCGACTATACATTTGAACAAGACAAAAAACCCCACTATAATTTATCACCAGGCTGGCAAGAGAAAGAGTCCCCTCCAAGAATGGGGGCGGTGTCAGTTCCAACAACATCAGCATTAACCACACAACTGGAAACAAACACGCCCGCCACATCAAAGAATACTTTTTGCTTACAATGATAAAAATGAAATTTTGTCCTAAATGGAACCACTTTTCTTGAGCATATGGTAATGATTTTCAGAAGGAAAGAAACTTCGATTTTTATATCCGTTAGACAATATGGCCTTCTGCTTTTTTATTTTAGGACGCTGGATGTAAATTTCAGTATGAACGGGCCCACTTTAAATGTAAACATATAAATATATAGCATTGAGCATGGACGTAAGATCATTAAAATGGAACTTTAGTGATTTCCCAGTTTCTAAATGAAGCCATAAATGTACAGATCTGATAGGAAAAAATAGGAATATCAGTGAATTCCAAGTCTAGGGTTAAAGGAACTTATACTAGAAACAACAATTTTGGCAAGAGAATAAAGTTGATTTTTTTCCCTTGAACTGTTCCTTTCCTTTCAACTTCGGAAGGTCAGCTGCATTCATTTAAATGCAATCTCTCCCTTTATCAGCCACAGTCAGACTCATAAGATTAGGTTGCCGGCTTACAGCTTCGTATCACAACATTTGGTTATTTTTTTTAAATCCCTCTATGACTATTAAATATATTATTCAAAAAGAAATTAAGTGTATTATTATCTTTCTAAAATACTTAGGCACTGTTAACTTGTGTTGTTGCTGTGAAGGACTACTGTAGTTGGTTTGTCTGTTTCCTGTTTGAAGGAACACTCCTCTGCATCCTCACTAAGCATCTCAAATTCCTTCCTTAACAATTTCTCTGTCTTGGGGTCTCTCCGGCCTGGAAGAGTTCATCATCTCTCCTGTTCGGTTCATGCCTTCCGCAATCACAGTTACTCTACGTGCACAGCTGAATTCAGACAGTGAGTGACAGCTGGTAGAGATTATACATATTTTCTAGAAAATAAATATTTTAGCCAAAGGTGCAAGTTTTCCCGTAAAAAACCATAGACGTCACTCATTGTAAGAAACCGTGTACATGTACATGCACATAGATGGAGGCTGCCCGGGCCACGTGTCGCATGGATGCTGGAAGGGCCGGACCTCAGCACACCCAAGTTCATGGGTGCCTGGACATCAGCAGCTCTCCCGCCGAGGACCAGCACCCACCCCAGCTCCTTCCACGCAAACCCCAAGCCCGCAGTTGGACACCTCTTCCGCCCCCCTGCTCGCCTACACATGTGCGCATGCGGGAGCCGGCGGACCCGAAAGCCGCAGTGAGCGGCAGCCTCCCGTAAGACCCTGTCTTTGGTTTCGTGAGTCAGAACTCTCAAAACCCAGTTCCGAGAAAAACCGGGATTTGGGAAGAACACATAGTTTAACTCTGCCTGACCCTTGTGGAAAAATGATAAACTGCACTGCAGACTCCAACAGGGGAGTTTGCATTTACCAAGGCAAGCTGGTTCCCAAGCAAGAGCCCCAGGCTTCTGGCAGGAGCATCTTACCTCATTGGTTGTGAGAGTGAGGATCCGATCCAAGTCTTCGACCAACTGCTTGAACGTCGGTCTCTGGGAGGGCACTGCATGCCAGCAGTCCCTCATCATCATGTACCTGGAAAAAACGGATGTCCTTGGTGCATTAATTTTGTAAGTACTCGGCACATGGCTATCAGCCAGCTTTAGCAGGTTATGTGGAGATGTGCCCCAAATTAAGAATATGTATCAGAACTTTCAGGTAACTACATTAGAGGGGGGTTATCCGCTTTCCCAAAATAGTCACTGCTTGGTTTCTCTAAAAGGCAATTTGATCTGCAAGAACATCTCTACCTGAAATGACTGAGGAAGGTGCCTATACCAGCAAGAAAGGCATGTCTGTGTGTTTTCAAAATCACAGGGATTTGTAGTATCTATGCCCGACACTCTGGGTTTTATTTTAACGATTCTAGCGGACAAAGCTTCCTCAGTTGTTCTTTTTTTTAAATGAAGTCTGAAAACCACAACTTTAAGGTAAGGTTCTTCTGAATTAATCTGCCATCTCTGGGCTTGCCCATTAACTTCCTGATTAACTCCTGGATAGATCCAGGTTCCCAGGCCTTATCTTGATCCTGGGTTTGGACAGACGTTCTATATTAGAAGGAGAGCAACAGGAATGACAAGGAGCACAATAAATGCCTTTATATAACATGCTATAAAACGTGGCCATTCATCAGACGTCCACTGCACACTGAAAAGCCCTCATGGATTACAGATATAAAATCCCCATGAAACGATAGACAACAGACCGCAGGCTCCGGGATAATCACTCTTCTTAGTTAATCTTGGTGGGGAGGGAGCAGCGAGTCCTTTTCAAAGCACTGATTTTGCCGCACAAGACACATGTCACAAACACAACATAATTCCACTGACAGCGCAGGGTAGGTTTTTCTAGAAACCAGCCCACGGTTTAATAGTCAGATCTGGTTCTCTAAGGACGGCACCTGGGCAAATTTTTAAGTCTCTGCACTAAAACGTGGGTCAAACTATAAGTAACCAGACACCAGTTCACTGGCTCTGAAGAAATGCGGTCAACGCCAAACCGTAATAGCCGTTTCCGGTGGTCACAGAGAGGCTGCAGAAGCGCCCGCTCTCCACGCACTGTGGCAGGGTCGCACAACCGGGCCTTTGATCCTACTCTGCCGGGCAGCCCCGTGGCTCTCTGGCCTGTGCGTGAGGGAGGGCCCGAGGTGTCGTCCTGCCACCCTGAGGCGAGCCGACAGCAAGGCACGGGCACCGTGGCCCGGGCAGATCCCCTGGATCACTCCGTGAAGTCGGGAGCCCTCGCTGGGCAGCCCAACACCCTCTGGGCTGCACCGCACACACCTCAGAACGATGCTCTCCCTCTTAGAGCGAACGGCACGGTTGTCAGTGTAGCTATCTATCTCAGTTCTGGGACTGAGCCCAGAAAGCTTCAGCAATTCTCTTTACAGCATGTTTAGAAAATCAGGGGCCTTAGGAAACCGACAGAAGTCAGCAGTGCTGTGGGCGTGGTGGGCCCACTGCGTGTATCGGGACAGACAGCGGCCCTTACAGTTCGTTGGTGCAGTTTGCCGGCTTATCCATCCTGTGTCCTTCCTTAAGCAGCTTAAAAAGTTCCTCCACGGGAATCCCTGGGTAGGGCGAGCCCCCGAGAGTGAAGATCTCCCACATTAACACCCCGAAGGACCAGCTGCAAAGAAGGGAGAGAACAGGGCGTTACTAACCAGCCTGAATCCCCAAAAGCCAGACGTGCCCCGTTAATCAAAAAACACACGTCACTCCTTGTGTTCAAAGGCATGTGACCCGCGCCCTCCTGCAGGTCACACCAGTGGCCCCTTCCTGCCCCCACAGAGCGTCTCCCAAACACAGCCACGCTGGGGGTGTTCCAGTGGAATTTTCCATCAACAGACAATAGACAAGTGATGGTAAACTGTCACTTTCTTTTTCTTTTCGGTGGAGGTTTTTGACAGTTGGGGTTCTTTTCCTTCCGTCCCTCTCAAAGTTATTCGTTACAAATGTGATGTTAGCAACATAAAGACCTCAATTCCGAAGCTCCTGTCCCACTCTCCCATCGTCCTACGTGCCCGACCCCAGGGCTGTGAGCTGCCAGGACAGGCAACATCGAGGCAAGCAAGCTAACTTCATGAGGGGACAGATGCCCAGCAGGCCAGTGGGGCGCCTGAGGCGCAAAGGCTCCTGACCTCCTGGGGTCCTGCACGGAGTTAGCCACAGGCTGGTGTTCCATGACAGGAACTAAAACGTCTCCTGGGGCGCAAAGCCTTGCACGCAGCCACAGGTGGACTTGCTGAGCCTCTACATTCAAGAGGCTCAAATCCCGGGATGATCAAGCCACGAATCCTGCATTTACCTATGTCATTGCGGCTCTGGAAACACACCCTCACTGACTCTATTAGGGTGGGTTTCTGAAACGGAACTGTCCCCGGCTGATGCAGAGCCAAGGCAGGGACACAGCACACACAGGGAGTGTGCTCACTATAGCAACGCACACCATGACGCCCCCACCTGGGGTTGCCGGGGAGGCCCCGCCCCAAGAGCGCGGCATCCGGCCTAAGCCCAGATCCTCCCACTCACTTAGAAAATGGCTCCACTCATTTTCACTTTTTATTTTGGAACAGGTGTAGACTCATGGAGACTTGCAGAAAACAGTACAGAGAGCGCCTCCGTACCTTTTACCCAGCTTCCCACCACGGTGACATCTTTCAACCAAATTTCCAGATCAGCCGTTCTCAAATACCAGTTGGAGCCTGACCCCGATAGCACACTTAAGGGAATCATAAGAGAAAGAGTATACCATTTTCACTCTAGTTCTCTAACTGTCCAGGATGCTAAGGACAAGATCAGAATGTTTTCCAAGGATATGCAGAGCGGGCAGGCGCCGCAGAGATCCCCTGAGCAGCAGCACCATGTTGACACTTAGCCACCCCCTCTAAGGACAAACCTGGGATGGGGGAAATTTTACAAACCACCCTCAAGGGGCAAAGTTTCAGGAACCCTTCATGAGGGGAGGAACATGCCAAACGCTTGGCAAATTAGATAGCAGCTTTGTAGCCGCACACCATGAATAAGTTCAAGGGGGAGGACTTCCGCTCCCACACGAGGAGGTGAGCGGTTGCGCGGCCCACGCACTTTGCGGCCAGGCAGATTAGGAATGGGGGTGCTGGTTACCAGGCCACCATAAAATCCGTCCTTTCTATGGCAACTCCTGTACCCTCTGTGAACGTGTGAAACGCACCAGGAAAGGCAAGGAGCGTGCACTCTTTTTGCGACTCAATCCAGGGGAGAAGCCCAGGGAAAAGGAGTAACTTACACATCGCTCTGGTGGGTGTACACTCTGTCAAAGAGGGCTTCTGGAGCCATCCACTTGACCGGGAGTCGCCCCTGCAGATGTGGAAGCAATGAAATAAAACAAAACAATATACTGAAATCGGTGTACCTGAGCAGCTTCACCGGCCTGTGCCCTGATTTAAAAGCTGACGCTAATGATTTTCACTGGTCAGTCATTAGAGCAGAAAGAAGTTCCAGCACATACGGGTGAGGTGCACAGATTTGGGCACACTTTTAAAATGGCATCTCCTTGGGTCCTCAGTTGTCATAGATCTCCCTAGCACACAGACACACCCTGAACAACTAGACAAGGACAGACCCAGGAATTCCCAGAAGCTCTCCTCTCGCTGGGGAAGTTTCTAACCACCTAACGAAGGTCCCAGAGGCTGCTGATCATATTGTACATAAGAGTTTCACAGACACGGGACATTCCTTAAACACAGCCTGAATTTGCGGATTGGAAAGAGTAAGGCGAAGACTAGACATGAAGGGCAGAAGAAGGGGCCCTCGTCAGTGCTTCTAGCTCTGACCATCACCTTTCTTCTGGAACATTCCGTGCCACCAACCCCCCCCCCCCCAATATCATTGCCACAGACTTACATTTGTGGTCTTTTTGTAATAGTCTATATTGTTGATGTCTCTGGCCAGTCCAAAGTCGGCTATCTTCATCACATTGTTTTCTGTTACCAAAACATTTCTGGCCGCTAAATCTCGATGAATACACTGAAACGGAGAAAAATTAACCCTCATTTTAAATGGCGTCAAAAATAAAAAAAGAAATGCATTCATTTCTCGTAACATCCTAGGTCAAAAACTCCTATTTCTTGTATAAAGGACAATAAACTTAAAAAAAAAACACACAAGGCCCCACTCCTTTCAAAGAGCACAGGCCAACTAGGTCACCACATTCTCCCTCATGGGCAGCTGACCGTGACTGCCAACCAAGCCCCTCGCACACGATCCGCATTAGATTACCATCCTGAAATCTTTTATCCCCTACTTGCTCTCCTGCCGAACTTTGAGAGGAACCGGCAGAACCCCAGCATCAGGTGGTCTTCAGCAGCACCGCTCCCCAAATGCTCCACCTGGTCCCATCCCTGCCCCGCCTCCAGCTGCTGAAGAGCTTCAGGTCAGACCCAAACGAACTCTCCCACAGCCTCGATTTTGCCCTCTCTGCAGTTTCAGACACTGCTGACTTCTTGCTCATTTTTGAAAACTGTCCCCCCGCTGCGTTCCATCCCATCCCTCTCCTCTTCCCACCTTCTCGGATTCCTTGGCCACCTCCTCGCATCCTCTGTCCCCCAAGACAGAAGGATTGTCCCACCGATTTTGTATATTTCCATATATCCTCAAGGCTTCAATTCTTAGATACTACAAAAGATATGCAAATTCTCATTCGTCACCGCTCTCCCGGGGCCCATGCGGTGGGGACACTGCCACATCGCTGTCCCTTTGGCACCTCAAATTCAAGGCCTCCACGACCCTAACCCTTATCCTCTCGGTCAGAGCGGTATACACCAGGGTCCTCCCGCGTTCTGTTGCTGTCCACCCCCAAATGCCTCTCCAGGGTGTCCACATCACTGCGTTCCCACTGCCCATTCCAGGCCATCGTCACTGCCAGCCCCTCGCACCCACAGATGGCCACCCCGGTGACCGAACGGGGCCCCCTGCTCCCAAACTCGGCTCTACCGTACCCTCTAAGCTGCATGCAAGCGGCGCTTCTGAAAGAACGGATCGTGTCCTTTCCTGGCTTGTGCCATGGCCAAGGTCCGTCTGTGCACGTCCTCACAACTGCTGGCCCCACAAAGGGCCCAGGCTAAGTCTGCCGTGCACACGGGGGCAAATGGCTGGGCGGCCCGCTACGGGGCAGATTTATAGTCCCAACACCAACTCTTTGGTCTTAGAAAGGTCTAGTTTTATACCTTTATTTTTCCTTTCTGCAAATGATATGCTTTGTAAGCTGTTCTATGTTTTAATGTTCTGTAATTAATATTCCAAGATTTCATCAGATACGAGGTAATGAGGGTCTTCAATTATTGCCCCCTATCTTCGGAAAAGGGCTAAAGAAGGAACAGAAATCCCTAGCAAGCGCTTTTCACACAGTCCCCCGGCAACGGCTAATGATCGTACGAAGAAGAGTCCTTGGATTGCGTTAGGTGGGGCCAGCTATTTCGATGGGCGCCCCACGCAGTGGCCAACGGAAAGAAGAGCAAGCCCAACTCTCTCTGCAGCATCAGCCAGGAATTTTTTCCCCGTTCGCCCCACCCCACATTTCCTTGGTTTTAGATGTGTCTGTAGCCCCCTGCATGGTGGGTTGAGATCAGAAAAGGGAACACCGAGAGCTCCCCAGGCGCGCTGCGCCCAGCCAGAACCGAAGCAGGCAACGGGACAGCCCTCGCAGCCGCCGGAGGCCTCTTCCCACGGACCCTCCAAGCCTGGCAGCAAACTGTCCGGGCAGGGAGCTCCCCGCCGACGCCCGCTCTGTGCGTTTGGCAAGCTCGCGGTCAGCAGAACCTGGCCTCCCACACGCTGGGCTCTGACCACACATTCGGGCTCCACTCAGAGACACGACAGCGACCTCCACCCTCTTTTCAGTGAAGACCAATCTAGCGCCCGCCTCCCGCATCCCAGGGCGCTAGGAAACGCCGAAGCCCGCCCTCTGGGCTGAGCGAGGGCAGACTGGGAACCAGACTCAAGACAAGGAAAATAAAGTCAAGCCAGATTCCCATCCTGTGCGGAAACCTGAGTCGTCCTCCAGTGCGAAGCTGACCGATTTACTGAGCTGAATTCACGGCCACGCTCCCTCAGGAAAGAGCCAGAGAGCTCACCCACTGAGTTTATTCTGTGGTTATTTTTTGCCCTTTCCTTCCAGATGCAGGTCTCTATCAAGCTTTACCACCTACTGGGAGGGAATGGGCGTGGGGAGGCCAGGGCTCCCTCTTGCCTTTTCACACGCCACCTCCAGGAACCAGCCCTCCAATTTTAGAAGCAGGCTCCCTTCCAAGGGACCGTTAAGGTCTTCACCTACCACTTCAAACCTGTCCTGGGTCTTTAAGCTGCAGGCGGCCATCGGCCAGAGGTTTTTGGAACCCTGCAAAGCCCTACAGAAACAAGGCTGGCCCTTCTTCCCATCCCCTCCTTCCACCCCCTCCCTTTAGTGAGGAAAGCCCAACCCAGGGCATCGCCGTGGTCCTCCCCGCAGACCAGAGGCAGGTAAGGGTTACCTGAGAGAAGGGGGGGCTGGGGCGCGGGACGGTAGTGGGGAGAAGGGCTGTGGATGGCGGGCCAAGGGCCAGGTATGCGACCTGCCATTTTATTCTGTAGACTTAGAGTCCCCATCTCCCGGTCCCCATCCAACAACCTCGTCTGTTCCCCTGGCTCAAAACTGCACCATCCTCCACTGGCTCGTGACACATGGCCTCGTACTCACTGCCGGGCTTCAGCCTGTAGCTTCCTGGTCGACACCTGCCCTGGAACGATTCTCGGACGAGTTCTAAATACACACCTGCGTTTCCAGTGACACCTCTTCCAGCCATCCTCCCCGAACACCCCCTCGCCCCATTTCTTCCTCATCCTGACAAGCTGCACCACCACCCCATTTCTCAAGCTGGAAACCCAGGAGTCATCCTTAAACCCTGTTTCTCTCCCTGCCGTATCTAATCGATCCATTCACAATCCTCGGAACAAAATGGGTCCCAAATCAATGTACTTCTCCAGGGCCCTTGGAGCCATAGCCCTGGCCCACACCACACTCCCCTTTCACGGGCCTCGGTGCTTCCACCCTGCCGTGTGTGGAGCGCAGCAGCAAGCTCTGTAGCACAACCTGATCACACGGCGCCTTGGTGGCTTCCCGTGGCGCGAAGAGGGCCGTCCCGAGTCCCGGCCTGGGCCTGTAAGACCCTCAAGGAGCTGGGCCTGTCTCCCGCCGGCCCTCACACCCTCCCCCGCTCCCCGGTCTCAGCACACGGGTCCCTCTGCGGGACTGCCCACCAGCCACCTCCCCTCCCGAACCACCTGTGTTCCCACTGCTCCTGACCCCGCGCCACGGGCTCCTTCCACGGTGCCCTTTTCGGCTTCTTACATATTTTTATCCCCACATTGAGAGTTGATCTCTCCTGCTGCCACCCAGGGCTCCGGCTCTAAAAGGTCAATGTCTCCGCCCATCCAGCCACCTCAGGGTAGCTGACCTAGGGCCCGAGGTGCCCAAATCAGGAAGCTCAGGAATATTCATCGCAGGTTAATAAAACGTTCAGGCCAGAGTTCTGCCTGTTTGCTTAGTAGCAGCACATTCCTCCTCCCTCACAGAGGGAGGACCCAGGGTGAGAGACCAGAGGGTCAGAACAGGCAGCCTGGGGACAGGCCACCCTCCCTGAGGTTCCATTTAGGAATATCTCAGAGCTACAGACAAGGTGAAACAGAACAAGGAATATCCTCGTCTGCCACTCGCTCGGTAAGTTTACTTGCTCTTCCTTTCTCTCCATATCCAAACCCCCTACACACACACACACACACACACACACACACACTTTTTGTGGCAAACCATTAAAAGGGAGTTTGCAGACCTCACTGATACTTCAGACGTACATACCTGAGCATGTACCTCCTACCTTAACATGATACCACTACCAATCACCACGCCCCAAACTTAACACCGACAGTGACGTTACCAAACACACGGTCCACGTTCAGATTTTCATTGTCCAAACATCGTTTATAAAAGCTCTTCTTCCTCCACCTCCACCCCAAACAGGACCAAAGTCCAAGGTCACACATGGACACGTAGTTGTCTTTATCTGGAACTGTCTCCCTAGCATGTTTTGTCTTTCGTGATGCTGACATTTGAAGCCATGTCTTGTCAAATGTCCCACACGCTGGATCTGATTGTTCCCGCGTGCCCACGGCCTTTCCGGCGGTGAACACCCCCCTGCCCCCTGTGCGCCCGCACGCCCGCACGCCCGCACGCACTGCTGCGGCACACAAAGCTGTGCTTGAGCTCCCTACTACCTACTCCCTGGGAAAAGGTCTGAACAAGTCTTCAACTCTAGATTCCCCTGAAAATTAAAAAACCAAAACAACACAAGACACAGAACATGCGGTCGCCCTGGCCACGTCCCTAGGTGGCCACCGGCAGCAGGGGCTGAGGCGCAGTCCCCCTCCCCCACTCCATCCCCACACCATGTGATCCGGCCAGGGCTGCCTGGCTCACTCATGTGACTGGCATGGCCATGAGCCAGCCTGGCCCCCAGGTGACAGCGGGTCCACGCCCGCTAGAGGCTCTCTCTTCTGTGGGGACCTGAAGAATTTCTGAGGTTGCAGTGCAATTAGGGTTGGACCCCAGCTGTACCCCCACCCACCCAAGAGAGGGCTGACAACAGCGTCCTGAGTCATCCGAAAAGCCCCAGAGGACACCTGGGCACCTGTCTAGCTGCTGCTGGAATAACTCAGACGTTTCGCGTTCCATGGCAAGCGGCATCCCTGGAATGCAGGGGTTCACCTCAGGGGACCTGGCCCACTTCTACCCGCAGAGGGTCACCCTGCTAAATCAGACAAAATAAACCCAGCTAATACCCAGGACTCAATGTTACTAAAATATCCCTTCTCTTGATCTTTATTTTTAGCCTATTTCATACTCAAAACCATAAACACAGCACCAGACTTCTGTGTTCAAACACTCAAAAACTACGAAACAAATAAGCCCCTGAACCATCAGAATTAAAGGCAGCGTGCCCTAAACCAGCTGTTCTCTACCTGCAGGGCTGACTCCTTGGACGGTCGCGCCCAGCCCTGTCTCAGACAAGAGGCGTCTACTGAGCTCTGCAGTGTCACTAAAAGTTTACGAGGCTGCTTTGGCTTTTAACCCTGATGTGAATAATGCAAGCAATATTTTCCAGGTTGCACAAGACAGGCAAGGGCTTGATTTTGCAAATGAACACGTCCAAATGGCCTGTTTTCTTCAAAGACATTTTAAACTGGAATCCACCCAACCGAGGAGAATGTGAAGAACTCACTTTCTGGGAAGCCAGGTACTCCATGCCTCTGGCCAGCTGGTAGGTGCATGACACCAGGTCCTTGAAGGTCATCTGCTCCTCGGGCACACGGTTGATGTCATAGGAGTACTCCATCCCAGGAGGCCTCCGGGCTCGGAGGTACTCGCGGAGGTTGCCCTTCGAGGCGTATTCAACTATGACGTAGAGCGGCCCTGGGGGTGGACGAGACAAATCCCCTAAGGCAGCGAACCCCGAATCTGCCCCCGAGCATCTCAGCAAAGGAGTGACATAGTTATTACAGCCCAGGACTTTCATTTATTTGTTTTCATTTGAACACACAGAAAAGCACACAAAAATAGAACACCTGCTTTCTAATCTCCCCAAAATGATCGTCAACAACTGGTCTAGAGAACCTCAAATGTCTTTAAAAAATTAACCAAAGGCGCTGAGTGTCCTTCCCTGGTCGCTCCTCTCTGAGACCCATGCCCGCGGGAAAGCAATGGCTGCCGTAAGTTTGCTCCTTTTGGCTCATTTTAATGATCTTACATGCATATATGTATCCATAAACAGTGTATTATTTTTAATCGCATAACTGAATAACAAAGGTATATAGCTCTACAACACTTTTCCCCAATATGTTATCCTGGTGAAACCCGGTTAGGCTGATAAAAATAAATCCAAACCATTCCCTCGAAGCCACATACAGGCACACCTCAGTTTTTACTGGGTTTCCCGATTGCCCTTTGCAGATACAGCGCTTTTTCTACAAGCGGAAGGTCTGTGCGGCCCTGTGTGGAGCTGGTCTACCGGTGGTGCCCACAAATTTGTTTTCTCTGTGTCACATTTTGGTAAGTCTCACCACTTTCAAATGTTTCATTATTATGGTATTTGTTACGGTGATCTGTGATCAGTAATCTTTGACGTTGCAAATGTGACGGTTTGGGGCAACCACACGGACATGAGAAGGCAAAGTTCGTAAGCGCTATCTATGTTCTAACGGCTCCACTAACCGGCCATTCCCCCAACCCTCTCCCTCTTCCGGGGCCTCCATATTCCCTGCAACACAGCAATATTGAAGTCAGGCCAATTCACAGCCCTACAATGGCTTCTCCACATTCAAGGGAAAGCAAGAGTCCAGCCACAGGGCCAAGATTGATATTATCTAATGATAAAAAAAAAGTCACAGCCACCTCAGCCTTCAGCCACCAGCACCTGGGCCGGTCCCATCCGCATCAAGCAAGACCCTCCCACCAGCAAAAAAATTACAACTCGCTGAAGGCTCAAATGATGGTTAGCCTTTTTTTAGCAATGAAATATTTTTAATTAAAACACATACATCGTGTGCTACTGAACACTTCATAGGCTTCAGTGTAATGCAGACATAGTGTTTATATGCACTGAGAACCTCCCACGTCACATGACTTGCTTTACTGCGGTATTTGCCTTATTGCGGGGGTCAGGTACCGAACTCGCAGCGTTGACTGGCGAAAGCCGCTCCATCCCATCACATAAATCCACCCCCGTGGTTATCCATTGCCCCACAGGCTGCTCCCAGGTCTGGCCGCCCCAGACAGTGTACACTGAACCTCCCTGCGCACGGCTACTCGTACGCACGAGTGTGTCCATCCTCCATCTAGACCGCAGACCGGGGGCTGGCACTCCACTGCCCACAGGCCAAATCCTGCCCACTGCCTGTTTTTGTAATTAAGTCGTCTTGGCTCCCAGCCAGGCCCACTCATTTGTGTGGCTGCTCGCACGCTACAGCAGCGGCCACAAAGCCGAAAATATTTACAATCCCCCTCCACCGAAAGGCTCTCCCGACCTCTGGCACAGACCTGAGGCTCTGCTGCGGCAAAGGTGGGCATTTTCGAGGTCATTCATTATCGTCAAACTGATTCCCGAAGTGCCCACGAGTCCTTCGATGAGAGGGGCGGGGGCTCTCTGCCCCGGGGGTGGGGGGAGCAGTGTGTCCCTGCAACCTCCCTCCTCGTCTCAGCTGTTCCCGGGAGCCCAGGCGTGCGCTGCCCCAGCAAGGCCAGGCTTCCCCGGCCCCCATTTTAAGAGAGCTTGTCGGCCAAAACATAGGACCTTGTTCTGAGAAGTTTCTCCTAGACTCACCAAACAAAAACCTCAGGAGGCTGCCTTTTCCCGGCACCCTCTGGGTCATGCCGGACAAAGGGCAGAACCCTCCAGGCCTTCTCATCCAAAGTCACCCAACACCCACCTTTCCCCAGCCCCCCGGGTTCAGCCACAAAGTCCCCTTTGTCTTCAGGGCCAGGAACATCTTCCTAGGAAGGGAACTTTATATTGGGTTCGCCAAAAAGTTTGTTTTGTTGTTTCTGTAAGATGGCTCTGGCAGTACTTGGTTGTCTTCAACTGCATTCGAGACAACTTCGTTGAATTGTATTGTGACACCTGGTCTTACCAGCATGCATTTAAAAAAAAAAATCAAAATTGGTGAGTTTTTGTGTCGCTATTTTAATACTGAAAGTAGAAGAAGATACATAACATTTTCAGCATATTATGCTTTATTATTTCAAGACAGGTAAAAACACAACTGAGACGCAAAAAGAAAAGATTTGTGCAGTGCATGGAGAAGGTGTGTGACTGACTGAACGTGTCAAAAGTGGTTTGCGAAGTTCCTTGGCATTACTGACGTTTCTGCCAAACAATTCTTTGCCATGGGGCTGCCTTATGCACTGGAAGGTGTTTAGCAGCACCCCTGGCCTCTGCCCACTAGAAGCCAATAGTGGGAGACAGCCGACATCCTCAAAACATCCAAATCAATATTTACCGGTGAAAGTGAAAAATGCGTCTTTTATTTTACGGAAAAAATGAAACGGACTCTTTGGCCACCCCAATACACGCATCTGAGATGCTCTAGCACAGATCCCAAGGTCCAACTGTCCCCCAAATGACGTCAACCCTGACCTGTGGCAATCGGGGCAAGGGCGTTCTTTGTCCTACTCACCATCCTGCGTGCAGGCTCCAAGCAGGTTGATGATATTTTTGTGTTTTCCAATCATCTTCATCATCTCCATCTCTGACACCAGATCAGAAAGGTCCTTCTCGGTGGCATCGTCTACGAACATCATGTATGTGAAACATCAGTGCGTGCCCCCTTCCCACCAGCCACTGCGGCTAGCTGCCCACCCTCGGCTGGCATGGCATGAAACCGAATTTCAGAACTAGAAGACCTTCCAAACCATTTCCCTCATTTCACTGGCCAGGCGCAGAGACCCAGACAGGGAAGTACCCTGCCCCGCGTCAAACAGCTAATTTGGGGTCAACAGGGTCAAAAGTCAGAACTGGAATGAACACAGGCCTCTGATGTTAAGGCCAATTCTTTTCCAGCAAACCTTGCCAATGTGGGGTATTTTAACCATATCGTGAAATAATTCCATCCTCTGGCAGACCTGAGATGCCTCAGGAAACCACAACAAACTTCATGGGGCCCGAAAGCAGCCGTGAGAACATCTGGAGAGGAAGGCAAGGCGTCTCCCATCACTACAGACCTTCTCCCGGCTAAGTGCCACTAACTCCAGCCCTCATGGCGTTCACAGACGGGATCGGGGTGCAGGGGGGATCCCCGCAACTGTATACAAAAGCGTGTGTGCACTGAGTGGGTGAAGGTCCGTGCCTTCCATCCCCAAAATACTGAAGTTTTATAAACCTCAGCTCTATCATCTCAAGCAAGAGTGGCTTAGGTCCTGTGTCCCTGGGCTCACAGTTAGCTTCTAAAAAGGGAACGAGACTCTTCCCCACGTGCCTCCCTTCACACTAATTCAATATGGAAAAATCTGGGCTACAATAGTGAGGTAAGGGCATGGCTAGGAGCCACGTGGCAGGGGGCTTATGAGGGTCACCAAGGGCAGAGCAACATGACTGACTGGAAGCCACGTGGAGACCCGAGCGCCGGCTATGAAAGAGGGCGTGTCGCAGGGCTCTGGGGCAAGTGTCCTCCTCCATCCTGACAGGGAAGGCTGGCCCGGGGGGGAGAACGAGAGAAAGAGAACTCCCAGGCCTCCCTTTCTGCTACGTCCCCAGGCAGCGCTGAGCTCCACATCCCAAACCAGAAGTTCTGCTGAAAGAGACAGGAAGCCTGGGCCTCCCCCCCGCTCACCCCTGGTTTGTGGCTGGGGGCTACCGAGGCCGGCCGGAGGGGGGCCTTCAGCCCATGACACCTGCCACACAGGAGGAGGGCAGGCAGGCCACGCAGGGCGCCAGCAGGCGGTTGTCCCTGTTGGGGGAGCCAACGCGTGGGGCGAGAGCACACGGTCCTTCCCAGCCTCACACCCCAAGGTGGGGAGCAGCTCCCAACACCCTCATTTTCCTTAGGAGCCATGCAGATTAACAGCTTAGAAAATCAGCCTCTTTTTGACTATTTCCAGGCCTGCTACTGTCCATCACGGGGAGACATGATGACTGTGCCCACAAAAGGAAGGAAACGTCTAACTCCTGAGGGCCGACAACGTGTCAGGCACCCCGCGCCCCAGAACAGACCCGTCTGCCAGGCCCCGCGGGGACAACCTCGGCTTGAGCTGTCCTCGCCGAGATGCCTACACTCAGGTTTATCACGTGACCGTCCCTTCTCCCCGCTCCCAGAAAGGACCACCGTGGGAGGAAGCCGTTCATGGTGACAAGTCCTTGAAGCTCCCTAGACATGGGCACGACGCAGGGCTGGAAGGGCAATTCAGAAACGTGCAGATTCATGCAAGTGCCATCCGACGTTTCGGTCCCGGGGCAACTGTTCACATGTCCCAGAAGGTTCTGCACCAACTCCGATCCTACTAGTCCTCCTCCCAGCTTGACTCTCCCGAAAGAGAAAGTAAGGCGTGACCTCTTCTCCCTACGCCTTCTTGCTCCTCCAAAACTGCCATGTGTCCTCAACTCATAAGTGAAGGTTTGGGTCCAGAAACCAACGTACCAACACTCATCTCAATTAACCAATTACATGTGAGTTGGTATTGTCTAAGCAAATCCAGGGTGGGGGGACGTGGGGCCACAGTTGTGCGTACGCGCAACACAGAGCTTATTCTTTATTACTGTTTATTAATTACCATGTTATTTTCCACACATACAAACCACCGGAAGCCTACTTTCGCCCTGCCCTGCACAGAGGGAATAAACAATCACAGGGAGCTGAAGGACAACCGTCTTAGGCGGCTACCACTTTGACAAAACTGGATTTTCTTTTTTAAAAAAGTGCACACAGCTCAAGATAAATAGTCTGTCCAAGATGCTGATTTATACTGAAAACTCCTCAACCCCTAGGTCAGCTATGTGCTCTCTGACCCCTTGCCATGACAGAGTTCACATGCCACAAAAGGAACATTCTTGATAAGGCTCTCCACCCTTGCCCTGCCCCCCTCTGCCCCCGCCCCCGCCCCCACCCCACTCACCTTTCAACATCTTCACGGCCACAGTGACGGCCTCCTTGGGCTTCTCTTTGTCGATTCCCACCGCTTCGGCCATGACCACTTGCCCAAAGCAACCTTCCCCCAGGGGTTTGCCCAGCGTCAGCCTAAATGTGTAAATAGGGGATTAGCACACGGCATCTGGTGAAGGGCGCAGTGAGGGAAATTCCAGAACTAAATATAAAAATCTTTCAGCGGCTTGCAGAGCACAGGGCATTTATCATATGGAACTAATGAGACGTGGGGTACACACACGCCCGAGTATTTTCTTAGTGACGTTTTAGAGAATGTCAATTACTGGGGGAACAGCTATTAAATTTCACATTTGTATTCTGGATTTATTTTCTTTACGGAAGGTATCCTGGCTGATGAGGTAGTCAGCTTTCCTAAGTGCTAACAAGGAGGGGCTTGTTACTGAATATTCGTAATTCAGAAAGTCTCCAGGAAAACCTTAAAGCTGTTCATACCTTTTGTCTTTCTTTAAAATTGCTATGATTCAAATACCAGTGGCTTTTACAGTCACATTCTGTGGTGAAGATACATGATACGGATCTTTAACGCATTTCAAGGAATCTCCAATTTTTCATTAACAGAAAAAAAAATCCTAAAAATGGGGGGGGGGATTTCTTTTTGATATAATAATCCAGAAATCCTTATGACTACCCAAAATTAGTAATAATAAAATCCAAAGTGAACACAGCAAACTAAATTTCTAAGCTCAGAAGTTACACACATCCTGTTAACAGCCATACCTCGTCCTTGGGCATTACAGAAGCCAAAAGAACGGGGCCATCTTTGCAATATGTATGAGTATGGTTTTTCACTTAAGCGAAGTCCTGAGCTGACCTTAGTATAAATAGTATTTATGGTAAGTACACTGGGATTTGCAAAAGCTGAGCAAAAACCGAGGGCAACGTATGCTACGCTGAGGTCATTCCATTTCTACGCTGAACTAAAATTAAATTTAATGTCTTGGCAGAAAACAAACATTTGCATTGGAAAAATGGCTAATTTATGTCCTGTTGCCCTGCTACTACATGCATAACAATCCTTTCTTTGTATAACTTCTGCCTCCGATCTAATAAACTGCTTCTAAATAGCCTTCATTCATTGGAAACCTGCCCCACCTACGTTTGCACTTAATACTGTTTTGAAATGCTCAGCACTCAGATTTTCCGCACTCGGGGCACCCGCGAGTGGGAGCTAACAGTCCAGCGCATACAAGATTCCCACTGTTGACAGTGGCGTCACAGGTGGCAGACACTACGGACTGAACCTGAGAGCTGCAGTTTCTCACAATATGATCGCAGCTCCCCAACTCGGCCCTACACACACAGGAATGTGGACACAAACCGGCCCATCTGTATAATCAAACCAGGGAGCCAGGAGGGCTCGCGAGAAACACCCCCCCTCTCTCCCCCTCCACATCCTACAGGCAGAGAGCCCCTTCCTTGTGTTTTCTGCTGGTGCCTCACCTGTAAATGTTCAGTAAACAGGTCCTGAATGAATGAGTGAATGAATGGTGTTTTTACTACAGTACACAAATAAACTGGAAATTACCTCCATTAACACTCTAACAGCATGATACCTGTGTGATTATTGGATTCTAGCTTACGGTGCACATTAATATCTGTACTTTGGCTGCTGGGGAACAAAGCTGGTGTGGAGTTGAACGAATCAAAATGACAAGGGACATATAAACTCCCTCTCCTTCCAGAGCTCATCAGCCAGACTCTAGAAAAGCTTATCTCTGTAGGATTTCCAGATTTGTGTATGAGTTCATCTACAGTAATTAAACACTGACAGAATCTCAGGGCGCTACTAGAGTAGGTGGACGTAAGCAAGTCAAGAGCTTATTCCAGTTGATTTGACGCAGATGGGGAGTGAGCAGCTTCCACCTTTCATTACTCGCAAGCTGTTCAGACTCTAATTACCACAAAAGGGACCCAGAAGAGAGCTGAGGACTGGCCCTTCAATAACCAGGGGACTCCTTTTCAGAAGGTGGGTCTGGGAGTTGGTCCCTGCCTTGAAAACAGAGGCTGGGAGCCCAAGACCTTCCCCACTGACCCTGTGCCCACGGCCGCCATCCTGCTAAGGCCTGCGGGCCAGAGCCCCCGGGTCACCAATAATGAAGGGAAACAAAAGGAGACCTACCCTCCCAGGAGCCTAGAACTGCGCTCAGTCCTGGACTTCATCCCTTTTACAGGAATGAGGCCCACAGCCTCAGGTAACCCGGGCCCAAAGCACATGGACTCAAAGCCAGACCAAGAGACACACAGTTCCCAACAACGCCTTCCTCAACACAGCCCAGGTGGCCACGCTTTGAACGTAACTGGGACACCTCTACATCATCTAATAAAGAAAATATTATGAATCACAGGAAACTCAATGTCAGGCACCATATCTGAAGCTTTTCAGCCCGACAGCATGTTAATAAACATTAAAAACAGTAACACTGGATAGAGATTCGTAAGACGGCTTACTTTCTTCATATAATTTCTCCAAAGAAACGAACAACAGAACAGTAACCTGAAGGCGGAATGCCAGAAGTTTTTTATAAATGGGATAATCCTACTTTTATTCAATGTGACTAGGTTTGAATTGTCTAGAAAATTTAAAACAAAAACAAAAACAAAAAACATTAATTAAGTTGCCACCCTGTTGGGGGACCAGCCATGGCTTAGAAGCTCCTTTTATAAAAGAACTATTTAAAAAAACAGAGGCTCAATTCTTTTCTGAGAGTTGGTTACATAAAAATATAACCTCACTTTTTTTTGACATCCTTACAGCAAGACCGTTGCAGTTCAGGGTCATAAATAAAAAGATAACGTCAATCCAATATCCCCTTTACACCTGAGCCTCCTTCCATTCGGGGATGTGCCCAATAGAGGTACTCACTTATCTCTTGGAAACTCCCATTTTGGGTCTTCCGGTAGTTCGTACTCAGAGACCCCAGCCAGCATGGGGGTGTCTGCTGTGGAGGAGAGGCGTGTTGTTATCCTCACCAGGGGGGTGTTGGAGTTCATGGAGGAGCTGGACTCAGCAGAAACCTGGATACAAAACGCAAAGACGCAGATGTAATCCTGGCTCCACCTGGGAAGGCTGGAGGCCGGCCAGCGCCCAGCCAGACGGTCAGTTCTTAGGAAGGAAGACAAGTGGGGGCCGCCCAGAGGCACAAATTCAAGACCAAAAGCACCGGATTCCAACTCCTCTGTCCTCCCATCTATGCAGGACTAACATTCATCCACGTTACGTGGTCCTAAGACCAGGGTTTCAAACATCTGTACACAGTGCTGGACTGAAACATACCTGCTTTCTGTCCTGATTCTGCAAGACAGTCACCTGAGGACAAGACACACACCCACCCCCCACCACCATAATCTTCATTATTACCTCCAGTATTACCTGTACTGGAGCCCCAGATAATCAATCTCCCTGTAGACCACTGATCATGAATCAATGTTGTGCTCAGGAAATTCCATAAAAACTTTTGGGCAATCTATCCATGGAAATGCAAAGCAGACTATCTCCCGGAACCAACTCTAGGCAGCATTTGGACGTGAAAGGCATTCCAGTAGCTCCCAGTGCCTCTTTGTTTAAGGCCCTGAGACCCAGGCAGACGGGGCGGGCCCTGCTTCTCTGCAGTCCTTCTGGGAGCTGGTTGATATCCAGGCCATTCAGTGAAAATCGACTGACTCTTGTCAACTGCGGTTTCAGAAACTAGTAGACTGGCCTCGTGGGATGAAGAGTCAAGGAAAAGAAAAATACTTCTTTGTTTATTATCACCCGGGAAAGCCCCTCTCCCGCCGGGCAGCGTGCGGGGGCTTCACTGAGGTTTCTTATGTACCTTCACCCATTTCAAGTCTGTGTCTGAGAACATGGTCATTTCTTAAATATAGCGTCTTCCCTGTGCTGGCTCCTATGAAGGATAACACATGCAGAGCCCACGTGAGGGCCACCTCTGAGAATCACTACACAGTTTGGTCCAATCATTGGTTACGTGAACACCACCTGACCGTAAACTGTGAACAGGACCTTGGTCCAAGACAGTTGGAACATAGGGGTTGAACCTCATGTCAAAGCAGCTCACCTGCCCACCTTGGGGCTGTGCCCTGCATGATGGCCAAAGTCAACTGGCCTGCCCAGCTGGGCTTACAAACCCCATTTAAAGCAAGGAGCAAAGACTGAGTGCAGAGATGCAAACGGACGATGAACTTTCACAAGGTGGAGCCTGGACCCTTCTCAGAAGCCCTGTGCTTCCCGGCAACGTTGTCCTATGCAGAAAACGTCGATTCTCTCTTTCGTGAGCCCAGACTGCCCATAACTGGAAACCCGAGGAGATGACCGAGAATACATGGTGTGGGGGGGGGGATCGTTTTACAAATAGGAGGACATTGGTTTCAGTGCTAAAATCAAGAAGTAGTAAAATCAAGAGTTGAGGGAGAGGTTAGAATGTGTCTACTTCAGAACTTTGTAGGCCATTTAAATTTTATTACCATGCATACAACTCTTTTATGTTTTTTAACAAAAATGTTTTTAGAATAATATGGGTCTGAACTGAGGCATGTCACAGCGGGGAAAGAAAACAGGCATAGGCTTAAAATATACTGGGTTCTCAAATGGGTCAAAAATAGCGAGATCATTGTTTCCATCTCTCCTGTGCGCTCCAGGCAGAGCTCCGTGGTGCCTGTGGGCCTCGCACGTGGGCACCGCAGTGACTGCTCCCACCCGAGCGGCCAACCCCACTGCGCCCTCCCTCTGGTAACTGTTTACGAGGTGGGACCCCGCATCGGGTGGCAGTATCCTGACCAACTGCAGCCATGGGTCCGACTGTGGGGGCCCCCCTCCCGGTTCTGACACTTGGGTAACTTGAGCCCAGACATTCGGGAAGTCGCCTAACTTTCCTACAACTCGAGGCCGCTCACCTGTTCACAGGAGAGCGAGCAGTTTTCCCCACACAGTTACCATGGGGATGAAACGCGGTCACAGCACCTGGTGTTTAGTGCTCAGCCTGGCTCTGGTGAACAGCTCTGTTATAGCATTTGCTACCAACACCACAGTCACTTTTCTTAGCACCTTTTTAAGAATCATTTGCCGCCCAGAGTCAAGGGTGCATATGATGGCACCTCCCTCTGGGGATCCCGGAGCCTCTAGAGCCAAGGGCTGTTCTGCATGTGAGATACTGTCACACCGTGTGCCGCAGGGGAGAGTGAAGACCCGCTGCAGAACAGGCCACGCCTTGCGGGGCTAGGAGCTGAGACCCTCTACTCACAGCCAGGGAGGGCAGGGACTCCTGTGAATGAAGGTGAGAACCCAAGAAATAAAGCGTCCGGAAGTCAGGGGACAGAGGGCCCGGGAATGGTCCCGGGACAGAAGGAAAGCTGGAGTCTCAGGATGTCCTGGTAACAGATACGGCGTGGGGGCAACTTAAGCACAGAGAGGCTGAACATTCAGCCACAAGTCACCGGCTCTGCAGCCAGCCCAGGACCCCAAAGGAGTCTTTGCCCACAAGCCCCGCAGGACCTCCCACACATATACCTCTTTCCCCCAACGGAGGGTCTCAACAAGGTTTTTCTGTGGAAGCTTTTAATGGAAAACCTTTATAAACTTGGTGGCCATGATTATTATTAACATTTAAAAATCGTGTTTACAAAAAAGATTACTTATGGAAATTCTGTTCGGATGAAATACGGAGGTTTAGATGCAATGGACAAATCTGTATTAAAAAAAAAAAAACAACAAAAACCCCACACATAAAGGGGAGAAAAAAGGTATGAAAATGCCCAAAGTTTAAGAAACGACAGAATTCCGTCACCTTGCCTGTGGAGGTAGATCTTAATTTCAGCTCCAAGCTTATTCACTATGCTTTTACAACCCCTCTGGGGCTGTGGAGTACAACAGCTTTCTCTTCACTCCATGTTAATCCGAGCACGGGGCGTGGTCCCGGCTCGGCAGGACCTCTCACAGGAGACTCTTCCACGGCTGGGGCGCCGCTTCTCACCGGGACGTCTTCCCTCCACACCGGGGCCCCTCGAGGAATTCCCGAATCCTGTGACTACTTCAGTGCTATCCGTTTATCACTTTTTTTTCCCTTTGCACAAAGTCATCATCTTCCCTGTCAGATACTCTTTTTCAATTGCAGGGTTTCCTGTTTATCTAATTTAAAAATATTCCATTGATGGCGATAATGAAGTTATTTATAAACAACAAACGCTCACACTCTAGAATAAACTGTCTTCCCACTCCCAGATCCTGGCTGGCACTTGCCCAGCATGCATTTCAGCCTCAACTCAGCTTCCTCACTTTCCGGAATCTCTTTACCATGTGCCATAAATCAAGCTTTTAACTAAATGTGCTTTTTGTGTATTTCCACAGTACATATGGGAGATTAAGCAAGGAAGTGGGGTTTTTTTTCTTTTCTTTTCTTTTCCAAAGGCCACCAAGAAACTGTGCTATCTCTGTATACTAGATTAGAACAGAGAGCCAGGGGGACTTCACCGAGAACACAGCCAGCAGAAGCAGAGATGCCAGCGCGAGGGGTGATGAGTATTTTGTGTTATTTATTCCTGAGCACCGACACCCACCCCCAGACTGCAGCCAGCCGCAGAAACCCTCTGACTGACTGAGGCTGGGGATCTATGTTCCCGAACCGGAACAGAAGGCTCTGGAACATGTTTCCTCTAAGCCCTGCCCATCACTCCCCTCCAGCCAAACTGAAGGCTCTCACCACCTCAGCCAGGTGACCATATAAAGGTCCAAGGAGCTGCAGGGCTTGGCTCTGTCTCCACCACAACATTTAGGGAATTAAATAGTTTATCAGACACTTGTTTTTCTCCCTAAGCAAGGCTGTGCCTTACGTACAGCCCGTTGTAAACCTATCAGAGCAACAGCTCCCATGTGCTGGGACAGACTGGCTCTTCTCAGAGGATCACATCAGCCAAACTCCAGGTCAGGTCTTTAGTCAAGGTCTTTCCAAGGCCGAGAGAACAGCGAAACGGGGGTCAGGAAGGGCGAGGGCGCCCACATGAAAGGGCAGATTTCCAGTGGAGCCATCCATGACCATGCTAATTACGCAAATGTTTTCTGGAACCAGGACACTTCCATTAGACCATTTGACCAAAATACAGAACAAGCTCAGTGATCACGATATTTGGCTGCTGGGTAGTAAATGAGTGTCTAGAAGTAAAACCGCCCTTCACAGTACGTGGTGTATTTAATAACCACTAATACCCTGCCCAAGAACTGGCTCCTGAACCACACACACTCACCCCGCTTCACCTCGGTCCTGTTCATGACACCCTCGGGAACATACTACTCGCCTCAAACGTTTCGTTAAAAAGCATGACCTTGACTGCCCTTTATTCTTCTCTGGTTCTCAACCTACTGTAACAGCAACCAAAAGGTGACACTAAAGTCCGAGGGGGAAAAAAACACCACCCTGCAGCCCCTTCTGAAATGCCAATGTCCTGCACGCATGTGTGAGTCTCCCCGCCCAGCCCATGGGTTCATCTGTCCATGGAGACAGTTAAGTCTCTATCCTGCCCTACGGAAGCCTCTGGCCCCAGAGAAAGACCCTGATGTATTCACTGGAAAACCGATGCAACGAGTCCAGCCACACCGGATGCTGTCTGTGTCAATATGTCCCAGTCCCTTCGCTCCACCCCCCACTCCCGCCCCCACCTAACTGATTTGTGCAAAACACGGCAAGCGAAGCCCTGTCTTTAAGTCACGGGTGTGCACGGGCTCCTTCGCAAGGGCCACGCTGGCGACTCGTGCCCTGCTCTGGGCTGGCTCTCGCTGGGCCCCTTGACATGCTGGTGGCAAAGGACAGGGAGCAGAGGAGCGCGTGGCTGGCACGGTGTCTGAGCCCCGGCACTGCACGTGGGTTCACAGAAAGACGCCACGTGCCACCCCCCGCCCCACCAAAAAGTTGTTTCTTTCTCCAAGTACCAAAAGCCATCAAGTGTCCCCAGAAGCCCATAGTTACGGGGAAATGATCCCAAGGAACTTCTCTGGTGCTGGAGAACAAGACTTTTGACAAAAAATAAATAAATAAACTTAAATGTCTGTACCGGCAAGTTCAGTCCAGATTAGTAAAAGTCAAGAAGGAAAAACTCAGAATGGAATCAAGGAAAAACAAAAAAACAAAACAAAAAAACTTCTCTCGTTCTAAAAACAATTACTTGATTGAATGGCGTGAAATGCTGTCTGATGCGTGTTGGGGAGGGGCGAGGGTCAGGGCCAAGAAGATAAAATTTGGACTCCACCGTGAACACACGGAGGACAACCTGTGTGACAGAGAGGCCGGGCACCTGCAGCATGAAAAGCGGCCCCGTAAATGCCTAGGGACAAGCCATCCTCAAGGCATCTGATTACAGGCTCACCTGTCGCCAGGTTAAGGCATGCTTGGCATCCCTGTGGTATTTTCTCTTTCATCAACGTATCTGCCGGCCTTTCTGGGGATTTCATTCCCGCTACAGTCCAATAACCCTCTTTTATCCAGATACCCGATAGGCATCTCTTTCTCCACCAAAGGGACCGTGCTTGCTGACCAAGTGCTCTTTGTGAAAATTCACGCATCCCATGTGGACATACATGAAGGGCTGAGATGTGTCGAGGGTCCCCCAAACAAAGGGACCTCCCGGAGATTTATTTCTCTGGGGGATCGGAATTTGCCCACTTTCCTCTTTTTTGCGCGCGCGCACACACGACCTGATCAAGCTGAAACTAGGGCAGTTACATTTCAAAGGAACCCCTCAACGCTCCCTAACCTCGGAACTGCTGGCAAAGGTCCCAAGCCACATCTCACATGGAACCTGGCGGGGACCAAGCACTCAGAAAATTATGATGCAAAAAGGAAGGAGGGAGGGAGAAATCAGAAGGAGGAGGAGGAGGAGGAATCCTCAGGTTCCCTGGCTGGTAGGAAAGCAACCAACCGAGGTGGAAAGAGACATGAAGAAAGGCCCAAGGCTGGGTCAAGGGGATTTTAAGGGCACCTGCCTCTTTCACACCAAGTAAAAAGAAGAGCATTTTAACAGCTGCAGAAAAAGAAAGGATAAAATAATTACGGGACAATGGTCTGACTACACCAATTCCCAGTTTCCTCCTGAAGGTAACCTTTTTCCTTCTTCAAAAAAAAGAACAATAGAGATGGACACACCCCCTTTTCAACTGCCTAAGGCCAGGTTCCCATGACGACTGCTGGAAGAATGGCCCAGAGGCCACCGGAAAGGAGCGGGTGGGTGGGGTGGCCAGACCACCTGAGGGTCACTGGCCATACTGGAGTCACTCCATCATTGCATCCCAGCCTCAAGACAGACCGCGGTGTCATTTTAATGACAATAGCATTCCTGGTTGTGGGGTGTCCCAGGAGACCCCTTTTCCCCCTCATTCGTAATACAACTTGAGCATTTGCCTGCACTTGACACACACCCCAAATGCTCTCCTCCGTTTCCATGAAGAAAGACCTGCTTGACACCTGGCTTCAGAGAAGTCAACAAGGACCCATTCAGCCCCGAGTTTGGAGCTGGGGATGAGAAGAGCCAGCTCCGTGCCAAGGCTGCTGCTGACCATCTGCTTCCTAATCCTTCCTAGTGCCTCGCCCAGAAGATGGCATGGCCACCTCAAGTCCCGGAGGGGGGGGGCAGCACTGGGATTAACCCCATTTCTCCAAGTCCATTGCAGACTCACCTGCAGTCTTGCTTAAAATGCAGGTTCCCGGCCCCGTTCAAGACCTTCTGGGGCCAAGATGAAGGACCCTACAATTTTAACCAGCACCCTGTGGATTCTACTGAAATAAACCACTGAATCAGAGCCCTTTTACTTGCTGTTTAAAAAAAAGGCCTTTATTGGAACCAAGTTCCAAATCGTTCTGTAAACACTTTGCATTCACATCTCTCTCTCCCTTCCACCCTCATGGACAAAGAGGGCAGAGACAAAATTTCCTGCCTCATCAGTTTCACAGAGCTTTGTTTAAGGCACAGGTCTAGGCTCTATCCTCCTCCATCTCCCCAAACCAAAACTAAACCAGTCTGGAGGCACATCCAAACAAAAAGGAACCACCGAAACCCAAGCACGAAGTTAACGACAATTTGGTGCCTATTCAATATAGAAGTCACCCTAGCCCTCAATCCACAGCCACCCCTGCAGACAGCCAACAACGGCATAATTGATATGCACATACAGCTCTATTTTAAGAATCAGAGAAGTGGAGCCAAAATTCAGTTTGGGACATAGGTTTCTGAGCTTGATTTAAAAAAAGTAAGTAAAAAAAAACCTACGGTCCCTCCCTTCACAACTAGTGGCATAAGCCTGTTCAAAAAAAAGGCATTAGATCACAGGGGACAAAAGTGGCCCATGCCTCAAAGAGGCTGCTTCTCTTGAGTCTCATCAAACACACAAGGGCCCTGCTTCCCTGTGTTACTTCCAGTCCTGCTGATTAGCTCTCTGAGTCTTACAACCTTGTGCTTTCTTGCCCTGGGAGCTTAACTCCGTTGACCCCACTGAAGCATCAGGGCTCAACTGTCCAAGCTCCAAACACTAACTGGATGGTCCCAAGAAAGCCCGTTGGAACCGCTCGCTCCACGAAGCTCACAGAAGTAGGGAAGCACCAAAGCAGAGGGAGAGACCCAAGAGCTGGCTGGGGCGTAGGGGAGGAGTAAGTTTCTTCAAACTCTTTATCTACTTTCTGTTACCTGTCTCCGCAGGGGGATGCGCTTGGTGAGCTTGTGCACAGCCGGCTGGCTGCTGAAGTCTGGCTTCTTGGTGGTGGTCTTCATGCGGCACACGATGACTATCACCACCATGCAGGCGATTAAGAAGACCCCTATGCAGTAAATGGCTATCTCCAGGTAGTCCGGGGAGGCCGGGATCTCCTTTTCTCTGACGGGCGCTGGATTGCACATCACAGGGGCGGAACAGATAAGCAGGCCACAGAGTTAGGACACTGGACTGATGCCCCCTGGCATAACTAACGGAACCAAACGGCAACGACCATTCCCAAGGACGGGCGGCGCCAAGCGGCACGGGCCCGGGCCTGCCGCGCACCTCTCTAAAACGGAGGTGGGTGACCGAGGGCTCCTCGCTTTACCACCAGGGCCCAGGCGGTCACTCTCTATAGCCTCAGTGGGCCTCTGCCTTCCAGTGTTAGTGACGGGTCGGCTGCCACCAGGCACAAAGGGCGGGCCGGGAGGCCGTTGACATTTGGGCAGCATCAGACAGCCAACCACACCCCCAATAAAAGGACCATGTGTTCCAAGATGGCCTCTGACACAGACCAAATTCTCAAATGCGAACAACGTCCACTTTGTTTCCGAGGGACAAGGCCTCCGCCTTATTTGGAGTAAGCATTTCCAAAGGAGGATGCGACAGGGTGGTTTACCAGAGATGAACAGTTTATGTGAAATAAAATATTCATCGAGTAGGCTGGCCCCCAGAAAGTGTCCAATTCTTTAATAAACACATTCATTTACTATGAAGATGGAATTGCTTATAATATAGAATCATTATGTTTGCACCACAAATAGTAATGTTTCTTAATCACAAACTATTAAAGTTTGTGTGCGTCTCGTTATACTGATACAGCACTACAACTATCCTCTTAAAGAATAGAAATGGTATTACGTGTGAGTTATACATAAAACTCCTCAAGTTAGAACATTCTTGTACCAACTTCCAATAAAGTCTGTTCTCTCCTTAGTCCTCAATGGTCAATCTATAAGCAGTGTATTTCCAAACAGTTATTTTTCTCGAACTGCATCCTTAGTTAATGGGCTAGTACTGTCAGGCACACTGGTTAAGGAGTGCCAACCAGGCACTTGCTAAATGCAGTATAGCCAGTAAAAGCGAGCTCAATGTAAGAGGCATCTCACTGTTTCGAAGCAAATATTCACAGGGCAGATTCATGACAAAAGGAAAAACAGATGCAATGGTATTATTTAAAGCTTACACATTTTAATCAGAAAAATGCTTGCAAGACAGTCAAAACTCTCAGCAGCACAGCACAAAATGAACTGATCGATTTACTTTTACTACATATAAAATAAGCATGCAGGTAGGCACCGTACTCTAATAATAAGGCATTAAAAACTGGAATGGAACATAAGGACTAGCGTACCACAGTCTATGCAGTTTCACAATGGCAATGACAAAGAGGCAGAGGCGTCCAAGCAGACAGTGATTTTCAAGAACGTTTGACCAGAATAGAGATATCAGTTAAAGATTCAGACAGCAGCAATATTTAAGCAACAGGGCTTCACTGATGTTGATTTCTCTGCAGAGCAGAAATAACATCAAGCCCAAGAAGGCAAGAGCATGCTTTGCAGTAAAAGCAAGCCAACAGCCCATTCTATCGCCACATGCAGCAAGCCACCGATTCCCAAGGTAGGTACCGCACTGCTTCTGTGCACCCTACATGCAGGTGCCTCTCCCCGGGCACCTCGACATCCGTTCATCAATTTACATCTCATTAAAAATGGAAAAGTGGAGTAGAAATACATAGGGCAGTTTAGCAAAATGGAATTTGAAATGAGTGAAAATTACTTTGAATTTCACAAAGTAATTTCCACTTCTTAAAGAGAAATGGGGATGGGTGAATTTAAACATTGACCCAGCGACTCCCGGAAAACATGAAATCCCTTTGGGTTTCCAGGGCGACATTTCACTTGATCATAAATGTGAGTGTGGGATCACACTTTAAGTGAATTTCCAAGGCAACTTTCTTATCCCTGGGGGATGGTTTTAAACATTTCTAAAAAATCTTTATGCAAGGATAAAAGGGGCCATTTCTGAGAACAGAAGCTGTGTTAATTTTATGGCAATCAACCAAGAAAAGGAAAAAAACCACAGAGAGAAAGAGCAGTATATACCTGGCAGAACTGTCAACCATGCAGAGTGAAAGGATATCCCAATAGAATTACCCGCCAAGCACGTATATTCCCCAGCATCCTCAAAAGTTACATTCCGAATATAGAGAACCTCAATTTCTTTGTCCGTGGTATTAACACCGGCGGCCTAGAAAACAAGGGAAGCAAGAGACAAGGCTAGAGGACACAGGAATGATTGTGGAAGGGCCATGGAACCACGAGGCGGCGCACCGGGGGCTCCGGCGGGTGCTGGCCGCGGGCAGATTCCGACTGCAGCCCGTCCACAAAGCCCACAACCGAGAGACATGGAGCGACACGGAGCAGCTCACCTCCACAGGCCCATCACCACAGCAGCTTCACCACCTAGATAGGCATGCAATCAACACATGGAAAAATCAGCCCACAGAAATCTGTTCGCTGGGCCATTGCTTTGCTCTGCTTTGGGTTCAGGGTGGTTTTCCAAGGTACAGCACCCCAACGTCCAAGTTGGGTCCTGGTCTGTGGGCTGCAGGTTTCCGCCTTGAGAGAAGGATGGTCCTGTCGCAGCTACTGTGTGGTCAAGACCCTGCAGGCGAGTCCAGGTGGACCCCCTGCACCGCCTCGAGCCCTGTGGGGACGGACCGGGGTGGAGGGCCAGCTTGGTTACCTGGCTCCGGTTACTTTTACTCCTGCGTGACCACCGCGATGGCCGTTGCATTGAAACAAAATGCAAGAAAGCTTGCCTTGGTTGCAAACGAACTGGGCTTTCTTTTTGTCTCCTTTTTTAAGATCAGCATTTGAATGTGAGTCATGACAAACTAAGAAAGCCAACCTGCTGCCTTCCATACCTTTGGGCTAAATATCCATTAAGTGGACTACTGCCAACTCCGGGACAGCAAGGTTGAAGGCAGCATCTGATAAGGATCAGCTATACAGCCAAAGAGATGATGCACTGCCGGACAAACTAGACCGTACCAGTATTTCGCCAAAAGTTGAGGGCAGAAGGAGGCATGAGTTCTGCTAACCTGAACAGGCACGCAGCTGTGTGTTTCAAATGGTGTTCAGGGGCGGTAATGATGGGAACTGGGTAGCCCAAACGAGATGTACCAGAAGGAATGACTTAAAAACCGGGTGGGGTGGAGGGTAACCTCTAGAAGAAATTAGAGCAAGCACTTTGAACATCGTGGGCATTTTTCCATGGCTGCTGGCCTCACACCAGCCGCATCACCAAAGGAAGATTATGATGAATATACCGAGTCCACAGAGTTATCCTACAAGCTGCCTGCAGTCTCCCAAAGCACCAAGTCTTTCCAGCTTCTATATTCAGCCTTCTTATTGAAAAAAACAAAAAACAAAAAAACAAAACAAAAAAACAAAAACGTTGTTACCTTGCTGTTTGGGCAGGACAGTGAGCCAGGCAGACTGGTTGGCCTGCCCTATATAATTGGAGACCTTACATATATACTCCCCAGCGTCGGCCTCAGTCACATTGAACAGAGCCAGCACTTCTGCATTGGAACTATTTATCCCCGAGTGCTGGAATAGACACAGAGAACAATATAACGGGCAGCCAGGAAGGACTTTGCCCTGCCTAGGGTCCCACCACCAACACACCACAAGAAAACAACCTCCATTATGTGTAAAGAGCAATATGGAAGGGCCATGAGTTCAGGAAGAACAATGTAAGTTAACGGTGGACAGAAGCAACCCGGTGGAGAGGGGCGAGAGGTTGTGACTGACACCTAGAATGAGTGATCGATACCTAGACTCGGTTAGCAGTGCCCCAGGTTCGTCACCTCTCCCCGCTCTTTTGACCCTTAGTGTTCTCAGCTGCTGAGAACACCTTCTGAGCGGAGAGTTCTTAGCTGAACCACCTATGGTTTCATGGGAAGGCTGTTCTTGTTAGGGCCTTCTCTATGAGCAACTCAATGGGGGAGACAACGGTGGGAGTGGGCTAAGACGTGGCACAGGCTTAGCTTGCTAACACCATCCCGAACAGCAAGACAGATCTAAAAAATAAAGAGGCTGATGCTGTTAAAACAGGGACTTGCAAGGAACCAAGTAAGAAATGCAAGGAGATGTTTTCTTTGTTTGACATTTCAAGAGCAATACAACCACCTTCTAAAGTTTATTGTCTATTGGCTAAATCGCATGTGAATGAATTTCAGTGGGTCAAGGGATCTCTTTGAAAAGGAAAATCTACATTGTTTCTAAAGTGTGGCTAGGAAAATCTGATCCTGATGTCACATTAAGAGAAAACAACATCAGCATTAACAATAAACATCGGGTCACGGCCTAGAATTTACAAAGTTCTTTCTGGCTACTCCCTCCCATTTACCCAGCACCACCTGCCCTGTAGGGGAGATGATATCACGATCTCCACTTTTATAGATGGGCAGCTGGGCCTACACAGTTCCCCGAAGATCTCAGGGCTGATAAATAACTGAACTATTCTGACACCAATGCCACAGTCCCCTCCACCGCCTCGAGGCTCCCTTCTGAATTTTAACTAGCAAGCCTCACGATCTCCTACTTCCCCAACACCCTCTATGCTGGCCAAATAAGAGGATCGTCTTCTCTTATTCAAATTCAGCAGGAAATCAAGGAACCCGTGGACCAATCCATGCAGGAGACCCCAGTTGCTCTGCATTCAGAGAGCGCTCACCTTCAGGACCTTCAGATAGGGCAGCCCATCAGGCCCATATTTACTGCCATTCTTTTCCACATGTTTGATCCACTGAATGTGGGGCTGGGCATCGCTGTAAACTTTGCAGACAAACTCCACATCGCCTCCGACCACGGTGGAGGCATTGGCGGGCAGTCCGGCTTGGAGGATGGGCCGGTGTGGCGATCGTTCTGGGGAAGAGAGGGAAGAGAGGGGAGGGGGGTGGGGGGGGAGATGAATAAATAAGTTGTGTTGTCCAGAAGGCTGTTTGTGAACTCAAGCCAAAAAGGTCTGGAGTCTGCTGGCTGACTCCTTTGAAATAACACGGCCGCCCAATGCATAACAAAAAATGACTTCAAAGGAGGCTGAGAGAGAGCGACCCTCGTAAAAAGAATACTTATTTAGAGAACCGAGGAAAGAACGTATTATGTCTCCAGTTGTTGGCTGTCCAAGACCACCTAATGAACAAGGGAAGAAATTTTATTTTGACAACCTGAAAGAAAAATGGCGGGGGATATGGGTACGTCCGCACGCACGCTGTTTGGGATAGTATCAGAAACTCACCTTGACCATAAGCTTAAATCACCTGCCAGTGACAAGACTTAACTTTAATACCACCCCAAACACCAAAAACGGACAAACTAAAAGCTAAAGGCCAAGGTTATGAACAGACTAAATGAACAAATGGTTTTCTCTCTTTACTGTGGAACTCACTCCATTCATTCATTTTTTTTTTCCTCCAGTCATTTCCTTGATAAATATTAAGTGTTTACTGTGTGCCAAATGCTAGGTGCACAAGTAAGCAGTCCTTGGTTTATTCAGATGTGGCACTGAATAAAAAACATAAAGAGACACCAGTTCCCAAACGCTGGCAGTGGTTTCAGGCAGCGTGGAGGAGGCCCCCATGCAGGGCAGGCTGGCAACTGCTTCCCACCTTCCGCTGCCTGACCTCCCACTCGGGGGGAAAGGTTCTCAACAAAGTACAGCCCTGCTCGTCCTCTGTCTGGAAAGGTCCCTCTCCGGTTTACAGGTGGTCTTGGGAGAAAGCTTGTAGAGGCAACCACGTCACGGAGCGAGAGCAGCTAAACACAGGGTGCTCAAGAATCAAGTCCCAGGGCAGCCTGCTGTGTGATCCGGTCCCCAAGGCCACGTAACTACAAATTAACTGGAACCGTCTTTCCACATGGCAGCTGGGTCAAGAGCCACCAGACAGGCCCAGCCATCCACTGTTCACACACGTCACCCCATCCCCACAAGCCTGCAGGTACCAGCCATCCTCTCTCTCTCCCCCTCCCCACAAAGCGGGTACCACTGCCTTTAACTTCCACTTAAAAAACTGCCAGGGGAAACGCAGGCATTGGCCAACACATCACGGATGTCTCCACGCCGCACCTGGTCTCCCCACACACTGGCCTGGGAACAGCAACTTAGAATGACAGATACCTAAGCCTTTCTATGTTGGAGCCTTTCAGATTAAAATGTCACTTAGTGGAGTTTGTTGGACAAGAGCCAGACCATGTGCAAATTGATTTTACTGCACAAGCCTGTTGCTGGTCTTTAAAAACTTAAAAAAAAAAGAAAAAACGAAAGAAAGAAAAAAGAGAAAGAAAAAGTGCTAGAGGTTACTCTTACATTCCAGAATCTCCCATCACTTCAGATACCTACCTACATTTTTACATTAAAAAGATTAAGGACTGCAGAGCCCCAAAGAAATCATTCATTTACCCCAGTATCATCACCCGGATAGGCAGAGCGAAGAACCCAGAAGATGAGACTCCTAAATTTTGTGGGCAGCAAGTTGCAAAGCTAGGATGCCTTCAAACGCCACCAGAAACCCTTCATGCCTCGGCAGACACAGCATCCCAGTAATGTGAGGAGCTGGGGTGAGCCTCCCGGTCAGGCCTGCAGAGATCTACTCAGGGCTAGCCACGTGAGGAGGACAGAGGTTAAGTCCATACACACCCTCCTCCCAAGAAACTTAGCGGCACGAGGAGAGCTGTCCTCTGGGCTGGATACTGCCAGCCACGCGACAAACTATGCCTCTGTACCTGTCAAATACTGGGATGGTGTGCGCCTTCCCACCCAGAAGTGAATTTGAGGTACCCATCCATCCTCTGGCCCAGTTTCCCACTCTTGCGCCATGTGTTTGTGTGTTCAAAGATAAATATTTACGGTGGACCTAAATATTTATTCTTAGAAACAAAGGTACTATAAAATCTTAAATGTCATAAGCCAGATCAACGGAATTTCAAACCACATCGTCTCTCTTAAACACACTTGTTTCAAATAAATCTTTTCACAAGCAAACATTGTGCATGTAATACCAAATCACGATGCCCCGTGAACAATGGGCGCTTTCATACGGCCCGACATCTCTGGCCCGCGCCAGCCTTCAGCAGAGTTGAGTCACTGGGGCAACCCTGGCAGGGCCCACTACAGAGCCGCAGTCTTGTTTTACTTGTGGTCAACATGTCGCTGAGCTCCAGTTATTAAGGTATTGCTATCCGGATGACTTGAAAAAAAAACAAAAAAAAACCTTTGCGATGGTTTAATGCTATTGCATTTGCAAATTACAGCACCCCACTTGCAGTCTTGAATTCATCCTTTCAAATTTTCTCACCTGCTACAAAATAACCTCTGAACCGCCGCCCTCCCCCTCAGCCCTTTCTCACTTCGGGTACAGAAACCGTAAGGGGGATCCCTCTGTAACCGAAACCTTACACCGCCTTCCAAAACTTATTACAGCTGCCTTCAGTATAAAATGAAACCTTAGAGAATGTTATTTAAAATGTTTTTAAAAAGTCAGTAGGCCTCATGTTTCGTTTCTCCACATCAGGCTTTGATTTCCGTTGCAACCTTATTCTCTGCCCCGAACATCTTGGAAGAGGTCCCAGGTGCCAGCTTCTGCAGAGCATGGCGCTTCTCTTCCCCAGCCCTTCCGCGCTCGCTCTTCCTCGTGTCCGTCAGACCCCGCAGAACAGCCATCGGTAGTAGGGGATGACAGCGCCTGGACTCCCGTTTGAACTTCCAGAAAACTGGGGTGAACGCAGGGTGCAGCCGGCAGCTGGAGGAGCTGGTTGGGTGGCAGGTCCCGCCGAGACGGGCAGAGCAGGCACCCCCCCCCTCCACGGCCAGCCCAGTGGGCACAGGGCACCGACCGGGGCACGAAGGCCCCCCGAACAGCTAACGTCACTCACGAGGCCCTGGGGAAACCAAGCTCCCTAGGTGTGCCACGCTTGGGGGCAGCAGGCTGACCTAAAAAGGCTGGTCAGTGAATTCTCTATGGACAAGAGAATAAAATCCGGAGCTCGCTCATCTCCAGTTCTTCCGTGTGATAACAAAAATCCCATCTTCTCCACCAGGATTTACAGTTTTAGGCAAGGTTCTCCCAGCATGTCTTACACTCAGCTGTTATAAAAAACAGATTGTTCTTTTTACAGGGGAGTGAAATAAATAGACGGCAACCAGAAAAGCTGACGAGCACCTCACCCACGTCTTGACTGTAGTTTTTAAAAACATACATTCTGAGATCTGCAGGTTGCAGCTGCACGGTCCACGGACCAAGGAGGATGGGAACCTTTAAAAGAGCGATTCTAAGGTCCCTGTGTGAATTCCAAATTAAGAGAGAACAGAAAGCAGCCCAAAGGGTGCGGCTGCTGCCGATGGGACAGTTGGCTGCACGGCTGGAATGAGGTTCCACCAAATAAATGCATAGTAAACACAGACCGAAGTGCTGGGGAAAAAATTCTCTCCCCCGCCTTCTCTCACTCCCTTTTGCTGAGTGCTCCAAACGAATCCACTTTTCTAAAGCAGAAGCCCAGCTGCTGAGAAGCTAAATATCAAGACTGACTCTCTCAGGTCCTGCTGTGAGAGACAGAGACAGAGAAAGAGAGACAGAGACGGAGAAAATGCCTGAGTGACAAAGAATAAATCATTGTTAATTGACCATTGAAACTTTATAACATGCCAGTCCTCCTCTGGACATAATAATATGTTTGCTCATAAGAGATCTACAACTTTTGCTCTGACAGAGCAAAGGCCATAAAAAATGTCCAGCGAGCAGAGGCCTCATGTCTACAGGCTGGGTAAGTACACATCCCAGGATCAGAAGGAGAACCAGGTTCTTAAATTACACCTATAAATTAATCAAGCCCAGAGTTGCTGGTTTCCCAGCACACACTGGTTCTCTAACCACTTCTCCCCAAAAAGTTAAGCGGCGCTTGCCACAAAGAACCATTTCAAAGCTGCTCTCTCTGGCAGGAAAACACCAGGAGGCTCCAGTCACATCGAGTGCCCAGTCTCGATCAGGTAACGGCCAGTCTACTGCGCCTGGACAACCATTCATTTAAGGAGCCTAGGGAACTTTGCCTGCCCTGTCTTTAAATTAAAATCAAAATTTAATTACCCTTCCTCTAAAATGGCAGTTTCTTAGCCTCTCCAAGGGGCTGAACAGAGCAAGAAAGAACAGTGCAATTTGGAGGACAAGTGAGAACAACCAAGAATTCTTTTTCTAAAGCCCAGACCAGCTTTTTTTTTTTTTTCCTCCAGAGTAGGCGGTGGTTGCTTTTGTTGCATAAAAACACACTAAACCAGTTAACACCGGGCAAGGTTATTAGGGGGAGGCCCATCAGAGCCCTCTGAAGTTTGAGGATCCCAGTAACCTGCTAAAGACCTCCCACTAATTGCAATTAGCAGAATGAGTTCATTGCCTTATCAAGGCTCTGCCCAACACACTCACAGCAGACAGGCTACGTCTAGCTGGGTTTTGCTTTCCCAAGGCTTTTTCCAGGCTCTAGAGACTAGCACAGAAGGAGGTCAGAACTAAAAATGATCAGGAGGAAAAGGTAAAGTTAGGATACAGGATGAAGAGGGGCCCCAAGCTTTCAGAAAAGAGTCAAAGTGCCTACTATCTTCCAGAACAGACAAGTGGGCCAGGATGCTGAGCACATGGATTTTTTTTTTTTAAAGGAAAAGGGCATAAAATGACTGGTTTGCCGTTCTTTCTCCATCCTAGGCTGAGCCTCATCTTCCTGGACCTCTGATTCTGGGAAGGCTTGTGGAATCGGCCTGGGGATCCAGCTTCCTCGAGAACACAGGTGTCTCGGCAGAGGGAGCACAGTCTGTAGAGCGAGCTTGTCTGGAGCAGGTCGCAGTGTCTTCCTTCCGTCAAAGCTGAGGTCCCTGGGTGACT